TGAAAGCTTTGATTTTCATTTCCATGCAGCAAAGTCCTGGTCCCTCACTTCAATGTTTTCTAAACTCTGTGGGTCCCTGGCTGAGCAGCCGTCCTTTTCTTGTGGCTTGTCTGGTGGGTGGTCTCCTCCTTCCTGCCATTTGATGGCCCAAACGTGATCCTGTTCTAACCAAAACATTTTTCTGGTTCTGGGCAAGCATCTCTTCAGTCTGCCTGGAGTTGTCCTGCTGAGACCTTTGGGCTTTGCTTCTGAAAACCTCTGTCTTCTCAGACTGTGTTTAAAATCAACATCCTTTAAAGAACTGTTTAACAGGTGGAATCTTTAAAAATCGATCTTCTCCCAGCTTAGGAGCTTCATCTTTTGTGTCCTTTGTTAGACAGAGATGCCAGAGTTACTGTAGTTACAGCCATCAAAACACTGTTTGCTTCAGGGCTTGATTTTTCCTATTCTGATCTGACTTGAGACCCGCTCGTTCCCCTGGAACCCAGGTCCTCCCTACTCCCCACTGCTGGCTTCCCACTGCCTTTGCTGTTGTCCGGGGCCGGGGAAGGGCCCCCTTTCAGTCTCCTCTGTCGTGAGCCAGTTGTCTCCCAACATGATCTACAGAAATGCGTCATTTTCTCATTTATAAAAAGAAACGGGAATGCCATATTTTCTCTGCTTAGTCCATAGGTATTTTCTAAGAAGCTCATGGATTTTAGATTGAGGTTTAATTTGCCATCCTGGCCATTTCAGCCGTCCTGGCTTCTCTCTCTGCAAGGAAGCTGCACCTTAGCGAGTTCTCATTAGGGTTTAGCCGTGTGGGAGGTAAATATCACTGACCCTGGCAGGGGTTGGAGCCTGGCCTCAGCCTGCAGGTTCCCTTACTGCCTGTGAATGTCAGTGCTACCGGGTACAATCGTGAAATCAATCCGTCCCATTAAAAATGACTTGTTTATTGTCTTTCCCAGCAGATTTTAAACTCTACAAAGCAGAGATTGTTCCTATGTGGCTCAGAAAATGCTTAGAATGCGGTGATGAATACAATCTTTTCCAATTTGCTTACTTTTGATGGAAAGACCAGGCCTACTGTGCAAAAGTCACCAGGTAGAAAAGGCGTTTGTCTGTCGGAATACCACAGTCACCATTCCTTGCTTACCACACTGCATAGGAGGAGGACATAGTAGATGCTCACTAAATCTTGAATGAATGTTTGAAAAGTACACTGCTGTGGCTCCCTCCCCAGCACGTTAGTTTCCATGGACAGATCCAGGTGGGGAGCGGGGTCCCCACAGAAAGCTCTGCTTATATGACATCACTGTTCTTTAGTTTGATGCAAAGTGGAGTGCTTCCATCCCTGATCTTTGCTGTGAGCTGCTACTGGAACTGTTGGCTTCAGGGACGGTGAGGTGCACATCACATCAGATCGTCCTGAGGATGTCACCTGACCCCATGGATTCTGTTTCCATTTTGAGAACACAAGAGAACACTGTTTCTTGTCTGTCAAGGCTGAGCTTGCAATGAGAAAAGATGTCATGGCCAATTCAGTGCAAGCTTTTCCCCCCTAATTTCCAATCCTAACGTCAGAGCCCCACCCTATCTAAACCTGTGTTTCTTCATTTGTATCTTTATGGAGCATGTGCAAATGCTTCCCGAAGGGGCCTTGGGGCAGGTACTTGTGGCCCTGTGGTCCTTGTGACAATTGCCAGCACTTGACTCCGTGTCCCTGAGTTGGACTGCAGCAGGAGAGGACGCGAAGATGATGAGAACAGCTGTGTCCACTAAACTTCATGGACTGACACAGAAGCGCAAGTTCTTGTCATTGTTCATGTGACACAAAATCATGCTCTTCTTTTGGATTTTTTTCCCAACAATGCAAAAGCCAGACTCAGTGAAGGGACCGTCCCACATAAGTGGCAGCCAGTGCTTGCACTTGGGTGTCGCTTGCCAATCCCTCACCAGAGTTTCTAGCCGGCATAAGTGAGTCCATGGCAAGGGCACAATAAATGCTAGCAGAGACCATCTCCATTGTTACTGATGGTTTTGGAGAAAAACAAACAAAACCGAAACACACAGACGCAGGAGGGTGGTGAGTAGGTAGGGATGGAAAGAGATACACCCACACGCCGATGGTTATGACGTTGACATAGAAGATCTGCCTTAGGTGCTTCTTTTATTTTTTAATGAATCATGAAAATTATATTACAATAAACATAACTGAGACCGAAAAGACCCAGCCCTGAAAACAGCTACTGAGAATGATGCTGAATACCGCCACACTCAGCCTTCCTTGCATAATTCAGTAGGCACGGGGTGTTTACGGGGCCCGGGGTCGCTGCTGCATGACTGAGGAAGACCATAGATGTGGAAACGGAGAGAGACAAAGTCTGTGCTGGTCTCAGGCTATGTCTGAGGAGCAGCTTCCCGCCAGGTCTGCTGCTATTCTTACAGCCCGTGTCTCACTCAGTGTGACCATGGCTACCGAGGCAAGCAAGTCCACCGTGGATAGAGGAGGGCGGAAAAGACAGTCACCAAGTCCAGGTCTGTGCAGAAGATGGGGGGGCGGGGACAGGAGACAGCGCCGCCTCAGTTTGGCAGTGAAGGTGTTTATGGCGGAACAGTTACTGGGCTTCCTGGGGCTCAGGTCGGACAGGACAGGAAAGGGAAGCACAAGCCTGTACAAAGGGAACTGAAGGCAAGGAGAGGGTTTCCCTGTGGGGGAGTAGCTGAGGCAGAGGCGGGAGGCCAGAGAGAGATCACTGGGGGTGTGGGGGTACAACCAGAGGTGGGGTGCTGCAGGGCGGCGGGTACATGGTGCCAGGGACGTGTTCTAGGCACTGCTCAAGTCCCTTGACCTGTCAGTTATTTTGCAGTGAAATCATATGTTGCAAATGATTATTTCACAGTGATTTCCAAATGCAAGAAGTGTGCCATTCCATATCTCAAATGGTGCCTGCATTCTAAGCTTTTGGGGTTTTCCTACCGGCTAAAGACGCATGCACAAGGGATGCTCTGGATGTCTCATAGCGGACTGCGGGCTCAGGACGGAAAGCCAGTGTGACTGAGACTCAGGCAGCAGCCTCCAAAATGTTCTCGGCACTTGGAGGCTGTTTGCTGTTTCATAAAATGCAATTAGAGGATACTTTCTGAATGTGTGAGAGGCCCAGACCAAAATAATTACCTCTTAAATGTAGGTGTTAGTAAAAAATCTATTCCGATATGTTCATTAGTAATGAGTTAGAGAAAGACTAACCTCTAATTCTTCAAGCTTGACCCACCTCTGAGTCTGTATGACTTTCTAATTTGTTTCTTAAAGGGAAGAGGTAGAGTAAAAACTATGCAAATAAAGGCGTGAGTGTAGTCTTTGAACAAAGGCATTTTTAAAAGAATCACGGGGGCATTACATCAGATCCTCATTTACATATTTTCCTGGAATAAGTAAATTGAATTTAAGCAAGTCATTATTTTAAAATCATTTTAAGTAGAACTTGTATACTTAGATATTGGAAAGAGCAGCCGGAATGCTTTAAGGTCAGAAGCAGAGGAATGAATTCCTCTCCATGGATTAACTGGCTCCCTCCTCTTGCTTGCATGCTAGGATTGCTACCTCCCCCACCACGTGCAAGAGAGAGAAGAGCTTGCATGTGCAACCCTCAAACTTGCAGGGCTGGGAAACAGTGCTGTAACCAAGTGCATGAACACGCTCTGGGAACAGAAACACCTTGGCTTCAGGATTCGAATTCTTCCACTTCTCCTGGTTCCTGTTCCCCATGCGTAAAAACTGTCCCAGCCTGGGGACTGAGCGAGTCACATCCTTCAACACTGTGGAGACTGTTCGGAAGGCAACTCTATTATATAAGGTCATGACTGCTCCACCGGATACTTGTTTACTTACCAGCCCATGAAGGTATTAAAAATTGATTCCACTCCTTAGGGGAGCAAATGTAATATGTAGCTAGAACCAAAAACAGTGCCTCTGACCCACTAATTGTCCCGCTGGGAAATAACCAAGTCAAACCTTACTGTAAAGTGAAAAAGAAAAAGTGGAAACAAACTTAAATTACTTAACAATTGGAGAGTGTTAACTAACCCTGGTTATAAATTCACAAAATATTAGACAGTCACCCAAAAGGCTACACAGAAAGACTAAGAAAATACAGTACAGAAATTGTGTTAATGTTAAGTGGATTGTATACATACAAAGGGTTCTTGAAATATGTGTTGAATGTTTAAATGAAAGCATCACAGGAAAAGACACAGTGTCATTAACCCCTCGTGCAATACCCCTGGCTCAACCAGCACACTTATCCCATGGTTCTCCACACTTCCTGGGGCAGCTCTGGGCCTCTTCTTTCCTGAGGGTCTTTTCATGGCTGCCTGGATGTCCTGAGTTGATTTGAAATGTTTAAGATAATTTCTGTCAAATAAAAACAGTACCTCCTGATCCTCCTCAGTTACTGGGCCTGCTATCGTGTTTCTCCTGGTTCTTCCTCAAAGTCAGAATGACCAGGAAAGGGAAACTTTTTAATCCATTCGGGACATGGAGGCAGCCAGGACCCTCAGGAGAGAGCTCTCCAGAGCAGCTGCAGGATGTGGCCCGAGGTCAGGCAAAGTGTTTTGGGGGGATTCATGGAAGTCTCTCCTTTGCTGTAATAAATTTTAAACAGTCAAACACATACTGTATTTGTGTGACACCTCATATATACTGATTAACACACACACATATGATACAGAGGAGAACCCAAGAAATCTTGTAAGAGTAGCTGGTCTGCGATGCACGTGGGATGTCTTTGGAATCGAGGGGTTTAGGGGAGCCTTTGAAACAGTAAGAATGCTGCAGGCACCAACATTTCACTTCTGTAATGCTCTCTCTTATTTTGAATGTGGCCCCCAAGACGAATTTAACCTGCACTCACTAGCTGGTGTCTCTTTTGCTCCCATGGAGGTGCCTGTTTCTCTCCTGATCTGAGTTAAGAACCGCCCGCCCCACGACCCACAGGCAGCACCAGGTGTCCACTCACTCCTTGCCGTGGCCCTGCGCTTCCTTCCTGCGGAGCTGGAGGCTGCTGAGAGAGGACAGGCTGCCCTTGTGCTTCGGCGGCAGGGGACCGGCCGGGTCTCTAGCGCCCTCTGACATCTTCAGGTTGCAGGGAAAAAGAATTTGGTAAAACAGTAGAAAGATCTGAAAATATTTCAACTGGTGTACCAGCCAGCGAGCCACCCAAACACAGCTCACAGACGCTTTCTGCCACCCCGGTGAGCGGACTGCATGCTCCTCAGGAGCGATGCAGGAGAGGTGCCTACTCTGCCAGGAGCCCTGGAAATCGGAGGCTGTGAGAGCACTCGGTTACAGCAATGCGGCCCTTCACACAAAGTGGCTGCAAAAACACTTTCGTAGCAAAGAGGGACAAAGTAATTGAAAAAATAAAGAGGCCCGTGAGGGGAAGAAAGATGAGACCCCCAACCCTGAAACCTTTGTTTTGATGGTTCCCACCTTTAATCTTCATAAAAGCTTGCTAAAATGTTCTTTGTTGCTTTAAAAATTAAAATTAACCATTTTCCCCAAAGAACGATTTTTTTTTTCTTCTTCAAGCAATAGTACTTTATTTTGGAAAGAGCGGCTGAGAATTAAGTTTTAAAGACGCTGCTTTCACAAGCGCTTGTTAAAAAGCGACAACAGCAGTGGGCTTTGCACAGCTCAGACTGAAACCCCAGCGTCTGCCCGCGGCCCCGCTGCTCACCAGAAGTTCATGTAGGAGATTCCACAACCTGAACCCCGAGATGCCAGACCAGAAGGAAACCAGAACTGAGCCGCAGAGCAAGGGTGAGCGGAGGATGGGAGCGCGGGTTCCCAGCGGGCGGAGGCAGTATGGGGTGTGGGGGGGAACCTCTGTGCCCGCGTGTAGGGGTGAGCATCTCTCTGTGTGCCCCTGTGTGTCGCACCGCGGTCCCCTTGAATCCCCGCCGCACCCTGCGAGGTCCAGGTCCCCGCGTGTCTTCCCAGCTGTGCGCCCCGCGGGCAGAGCCGGGGTCACAGTGAGAGTCTGGGACCCTGAGGGGCTGCCCCCCCAAACTCGGGGTCCCCTGCTTCCTTTTTGATTTGTTTTGGGGGCCCTGGATCTGCGGCGGAGAGCCCCTGACCACCCGAGCACACGTCCACGCCCGCGTCCTCCCACGGCCCAGCTCCAGCGCTCACCGCTGCCCCCTGGCCCAGAGGCTCCACATGGACACACACAGCTGCGCTCCTGGCCTGCAGGCGTCGGGCTCCCTCGGTCTCCATGGCGACCTCCCAAACATTGCCCCCTGGCCACAGAAGGAGAGAGTCCCTGCAGCTTCGCCAGCTGCTGGGAAAGATTTGGTTTTATTCTCTCATCTCAGCGCTGTGAGCAAGGCTCGCTCTCCCCTTCCAGATGCGGGAAACTGAGGCTCCGATGTCAATTGCCAGGTCCAGGATCCCCGGAAGAGCAGATCCAGGTCCCGAGCAGGGACACCAGGCCTTGGCGGTGCCCTGCCTTGTTGGGCAGGACTCATCCCATCCCATTAGAGCTCAGGCCCTCGGCGCCTGGCAGGAGGACGCCCTGGCCTCACCCATCCTTCTCTCCCCTGTGCAAGCTTCCCTGGCCCGGAGCGGAAAGCAGAGCAAACCAAGTGGACTCTGCGGACTGGTGCATTCCCCCATTGGTCATGGTCATCCGCAGTCAGCCTCGGCAGAAGGGAGACCAGTGTCCCAAGCACCAGCCCAGAAGGGAGCCTGGACGGCCACCGCTGAGGATCTCAATCAGCATGCAGGGCATGGACAGGACAGGGTTGGAAGGAGGGCGTAAAGGTTTCATGGTCCCTCCCAATCCCCTTCCTCAGAAAGGCAAGGCCGGGAAAGGATTATTTACTGCATTCCTCCCTTGAAGTATCTGGAGCCACTAAGAGAAGGATTAAATGCTATCTCATTTAAAGAGCTAATGACTCCATGGTCTGAGGATCACGTTGCTTCAGCTTTGAAAAGCTTTTCAGATGCAAAACAGTAGATTTCCATCTTAATTTTATTTTTACTTTTTTATTTTTGGTACTGGTGATTGAACTCAAGACCTCGTGCTTGCTCGTGTGTTTACTTTTTAACGTTTTAAATTTGTGTTAGCCCATGTTTGCAGTACATAATGGCTGCAGCCATGGGGTGGGAGGGCTGAGCAGACACACAGTCAGAATTCTTTCTGTCCCTCTCCTCCCTCCCTTTCCCCATCCTTCTACCTCCCGGGCCTCCTCCCATTTGCAAAAAGCGCTTTCTCTCTTTTTCTTATTATTGATTTTGTTTTTTAATTTATTTATACTTTGGGTTTCTCAGATAAGAGAAGGAAAATGATATTGAAGTTTTAATTTTATTTTAAAATAAAGAAATGGGGACTCATTGGGTAACACCCTCCCTCCAGCCTACAGTTGGTTCAGAGCTGGAATTTACCCTACTCTGAAGTCCTTGCCTTTGCCAGACCTCTGCCCTCTCCCCACCCCAGATGCTTCCCAGATGCAAGAATGCTTCCCAGAAATGCAGATTAACATTTAAGAGACTGGCAATAAAAGAGATTCACAATTTCATTTATTTTCATTTTTCCCCATTTATTTTCCAGAAAAAAAAAATCACATTTCAATAACAACTTACTCACATGTAGAATTCAACTTGATTCAAAATGGGAAACCTATCTGCAGGACTGTGTCATGATAAAGACTTGCATATTCAAGATTCTGTGAAATGGGTGACCGGGAAAATCATGAAGGGAAAAGAAGTTTATAAAAATCATTATTTACAGAAAGGTGATATCCACACTTTTCCTAACGTATAAGGCAAGTAACATTAAGATGGTTTCATGATTCCCTTCCACAAGTTGAAGCTCCCTGTAAACCATGGGAGGAATCGAGCCTGGGTGGCAGGGCTGGTTTTCAGAGGGCTGCATAGACACAGCGGAGCTCCCCTCCCTGGCCAGCAGTAATGGCTATCAGGAAACTGGACTGAATCGAGCATGTAGGAATAAACCTCGAGGCAGCGACAGTCAGACTAAATTTAAAATGCATCTTGAGTGTTGTGATCCACAATGCCTTTTATGAATATTTTACGCAGGAGGTATTTTGTGAAGTTATATTCTCAGTTACAAGATGACAAAGCAATTCAGTGTACTTTTGCCACATGGGTCACTGATACTCTCAAGTTCACAAGGATAGGATGGTCCTCTCCTTTTCTGGCTGCATTTCATTATCATTAGAACTAGCAAAATTTTCTGAGATTCTTTTCCTAGCTCCTTATTGGTAAAGTACAAGTTTTTGTTTTTTAAATCAATGGTTTACATTGCCACTTAATAGCAAGGAAAGTTAAAAATTCAACATTTCATTTACATAGATACATTCCTAAGAGAGTGAAAAAAAAATTCTTTTAGAGTGGAACACAGCGGCGTTCAGACAGCTTACAGAGCCACCTCTGTAAATCGCTGCTTGGCCTGCAGGAAAACTCTGCTCCTAGATAAGACTGCGTTACCATCGTAATAACTCAGGCTGTTTCAGGAAAGATTACTGCGCAGCAATTTTCCAATTACCTTTGTTTTAGGCTGAGAGAAGGTGGTATGGGGGGCTGGAGAGGGAGAAGGAGAAAGGGAGGAAAGAAGGGGAGGAGGACCGGGAAGGGGAAGAAGAGGAGGGAAGGGAAGAGGCCTTAGGAAGAGAGATGGGGGACAGGCAGGTGCTCCTTAGGCACAGTCACCTGCAAGCTAGAGGCTGAGCTGCAGAATCAACGTAACTGTGACAACTGTCATGCTAGGACGTCTAGGGGAAGGAAAACATGTGGCTTTGGCTACTGTGACGGAGGTCCCTGTGATAATTGTTTGGTGTATTACCTAAAATGCTTTGAAATGATGATATAGGAAAGCACGAAGCATTTTTTGGCCAGAAAAATGACAACAAAGTCATGTAAGATGGAGTGAGGGGGAGCTGACATTTGTATGGTATCCACATTCAATGAAATATTTTGAAGTTATTGGTGGCTTATGATTTATGAATTCTGAGTAGATTAAAACATTAAACTGTACTTAGGAGACTGTCAAGTGATTCAGCTTCACACTTTACCGACAATTGACCCAGGATTTGGTTTAAAGGAAGCATGGTAAGTTTATGTAAAAAAGGAAAGTTTGTAAAATTATCAAAAATCACCCTGGCATGTACCTTAGAACCCTCGTATCCCCTGCCGGATAATAGCTCGCTGCTCTTAGCAGGAGCTAACATGTTTTTCATACAGTTTTTTTTAACAAGCTTATGTACAAAGACTGTCAATATTCACTTGTGAAGATCAGTTTCTTAAAGCTGCTTAGCAAACTATTCCATATTGCCAAGAATTTGAACATCTTTAACAAATAGGGGCACCGTGTGCTGGCCAAAGGTATAAGATAATACTAAAAAACTACAGAGAATTCATTTCTCGTGTATTTTAGATGACGAAGTCAAATTCACTTAGAGGCACTAGAAAAACAGCAGTTCCCATGAAATGGCAGGCTTTCTCTTACAGTTAAAAACATCCTAGAAACATCTTCGCAAAGCATTCTTGATGCTATTATTTGACGTTTTTGAAAGACACCTAAATTAGTGTTAAGAGGAAAATTTCCCGAAGTGTTTTCAAGGGGTGCTTAGAAATAAAGTCTTCCTGATCTAGGAGCCTCCTGAAGCTGCATTAAAACACAACATTTCTTGTCAGTATCCAAGAACGCGGAGGGCCCTACAGGACAGTTTGTCCTCAGACTGCAGTGAGTATTTGGCAGAATTAATGGGACCGGGAGACACTGTGGTACTGCTGAACACGGCCTGACCAACTTTACTTCTCTTCTTTATGACATAGGAACATTTACGTATATTCACTTTTCGTTGAAATATCTTTTCTTACAAGGTGGGAAGTGTACTTAGGACGGGTGATGCCCTACTCTAAAGACAGAAAGAGGGAGTCAGAAATACTGTGCGTCAGGGGGAAAATAACTTTAAAATGGAGTCTAAATTCCTCCTGTTGAAAATCAGCCAGCTAGAGCTTGTTCTCTAAGATTACTCCAGTAAGACAGAAATCAGCTTTTTTTTTTTGTGCCAGAAATCGAACTCACGGTCTCATGCTTGCCAGGCAGGCGCTTACACCACCAAGCTATATCCCCGGCCAGAAACCAGCTATTAAACACAAGGGCCAGTCAACTAAAGTCTCACCGCGATCACCCTAATAGATACGAAGATGTGACACTTTACGAGGAAGGAGACTTAATTTCCAATGCAATATTTAAAATCCAGTCCTGCATCCCACAGATGATGGAACACCTGCTAATGCTCTGTCCTTGGTTTATCTATTTGGAGACTTTAAACACTTTACTCCGATCTCCTTTTCCTTTCTACCTTCCGTCATTGAAATTTAACATTAAATGCCCTAAAAAAGTGGGGAAAACAAGATACATACTTTAGAGAGCAGAATTTTTAGTGAAGGGCAGGAGGTGGGCCAGTGTCTTGGGCTGTTTGTTTCATTAACGTAGTGTGGTCTGCTTTGCTCACTTCATGGAAGTCTATTACAGTTTAAAGCTGTATTTAGAACCCACCCCAATTTTAACGTTATTAAAAAATCCTGCTTTCCTTTCTTAAAAAACTGCTGATCAGCATATCCAGGGCCAAAATGGGCTCCTTGACCCCAAATGGGATTTTGCTCAGATGAGTACTCTTTTGGGGAAAAGAAAGCTCAGATGAGGACACACACACTCAGCCCTTCAGTAGCCATCTGCATATTTTACTGTATCTCTATTTGAATCAACAACCCATGACCATTCTGAACAAAGAATGCAAAAATGAAGCTATAACTCTTAGAGTGGGGTCCTCAGAGGCGCTTGTAAAGGCAAAGCCTACAAAATAAGTAAAGTCCACTCCCAAGTGGGAGGCCTGCGCGTCCCTTTCGAGGAAAGGACTTTACAGTGGGCTGAGGGACAGCGTGTCACTTGCCTCCCACCCCTTGGTCTCCTAAGACACCGAAAAAGGACAGGAATATTCAAACGGGGGAGCGCACTTCAGGCCACTGCGGAGAGGAGAGAAACAGGAAAGCACAGAGAGTAGGGATTTTCCTTGGGAGGAAGTGCCCCATTTTTTCCTTCTAAGATTGAAGGAAGTTCAGAGGATAGAATGAAACTGTAAAAATAGTATTCAAGTTATAATTCAGTGTTTCAAATATGAAACAATGTCTGAACTCAAAAAAGACCTTAGAGATCTGTAAGGGCAATGATTCTTGAGTTTGGGGTGCTTATCGATATCACATTCCCAGGTCTCACCCCTAGAGACTGAGTAACTCAGTTAAACTGATTGACATCACTGCATTTTAGGCTGCGGGGAAGGAGTCATGGCTTGGTCCAATCACTGTCTCTCATTTGAGAATGTAAGTGGTCTGCATATCACACTTCAAGGAACACTGATTCTTTTTGACAGTTTTGTTATTGAAATTATCCTCATTTCAATCCAAGTACTGCCCTTCACCCTGGAATTCAAGTGGAGTACAGACAGTCAAATAAAACAGACAAAACAGACTTCCCAGAACGGACAGAGCAAACAGGTCATTCTCTTCTGTCAAGATAATCAGGTTGTAGTGTCACCTTGGACAAATTAATTAATCTGCCTGAGCCTCAATGTCATTGTAAATAAGTAGAAATTAAAAATAGTCTCAGAATTGTGGGATTTTTATAGTTAAATGAGCTACTCAGAATGGTGGCACATGCTTGTAATCCCAGCACTGGGGAGGCTGAGGCAGGAGGATCACTCCAAGTTCGAGGCCAGCCTGGGCTACATAGTGAGTTCAAGTCAGCCTGAACTACATAGCAAGACCCTGTCTCAAAAAAAAAAAAAAAAAATCGCTCAAGTATATGGCCATGTTTATTGTGTATCAGTCAATAACTGTGACTGTACACATTTATTTATGAAGCCTTAAGAGCTGGTTTATCTGAGAGCAGTAGAACTGTGGAACCTCAGAGTTGGAAGACACTTTGAATCTGACTTATGTGTTGTCACTGTGTTTAAATTAGACTGCTAGAGAAGCTCCTTCCACTGTCTGGAGAGGTTTTGCCTACTAGGATTCTATGGACAATTTTATTTATAAAGTCTTATTACAGAAAGCTTGAAAACCACTCGAGTCCTGCCCGCTCACTCTGAGCAGAGAAACTGGAACAGCTGGTTTATGGGAGGTCACGGGGCAGGACCCGGGGCTGACTAGTGTGGTTATATGCTTCCTTGAAAAGAAAATTTGAAATGGAAATGTGTGTGATTATGGCTCAAGTACTTTGCGGATTAAGACCGAGTTAAAAAAATATATACATATATATATATATAAACAAGAATATCGGTATTTTGCCTTCTAAGACATTCCTATGCATATATTCAATCAAAACCACCTGTATGTGGCCATTCTTTCTTAAGAGGTGAAATATTCTCAAAGACTACACAATGAGTTTCCATGCAAAAATACCTTTTTTAAAAAATTAAAAGTTTAATTCTTAGCCATTATAAATTCCAATTCTGATAAAATTCAGGTCATCGATGATGATTTCCTTTAAAAAATTTCATGAAATATGGGCTTAATGAAGAGAAAAACATACTTTCCATGTTCTAAAAACAAACTAGCATCATTGATACTTTCTATAGTTTTAGAGCAGAGCTTTTTAAAGTTATCATTTGCAGGAAGTGATGCACTCCTTAACCAGAATCCTTTCTTGCTATTTTAAACCCTGGCTTTGAGGATCGCAGGGCTCTGGAGTAGCCTGGTCTGATAGGGACCCTAACTTGACAGCGAGGTCTTTATAACTGAGACTCTGGCATGGACAAGGGTTGTTTTCCAGAGCATGGATTCTTGTTCTTCAGCACTGAGGATGTGGGTGCAGCAGGAGATTATAACCCACGAATTAAAAAACAACAAAACATTGCAGTCTGGCTCCCGCCAGCCCCCTCTGCATGCAGGGCGGGCACCTTGTCTACTAAGGTTCTGGTTATCAGCTTTGGTACTTTTTGAAATCACTGAATCTATTCTGCTTCAGAAAGACCAATTGTGGGATCATAGATTTCTTTATAGCTTCAAAGTTAGCTCCCACAAACATGTGAATCGTGTGAGGGACTACTCAAACCTACTTTTATTTACACTTTTATAATATCAACAAAATTTCTTTGAAAAAAAACCCCTTGTGTTTAATTACTAATTCAGTCTAAATCTATATAAAATAATATATCAAGAGAAAGACATGAGAACCAGTAATATTTACAGATTTTAATATGCTTTGTTAATATTCAGTATGTTTTTCATGAACTGATTACTTAAAAACACATGTTTATATTCGTATGCTGGATAATTCTAGTTTTTTGCTGCTTACCATTTGTTGGTTTTTGTGTTCTAAATTTCCACGGGCTTCACGGGATGTAAGCTTTGTTTTGTAATGTTCTATTTTGGTTTCAAAACCAAATTGAGTATCTTTACTTAAAATGGGTGTATTAATTAATTTGTTGAAAAAACCTTCAATACCAGAATGCTATGGGGAGTCGGGTGAGAGTCTGAATCCTAAGAACCTGTGAAGGTAAATCCCACCTTTTTGCATATATCTTGGTGCACTGACTAAACAGTACAAATACTAATTTTAAAAGTTCCACTACAAACAACTGCTTGTCACAATCTCGTTTTAAAGATAAGACTTAAAAAATTTAACTTGATTCCAAAACTTAAAGTTTCTTTGTCTAATTTGAGCGACTAGAGGATGAAATTTAGCAACGAATGGTAAACTGCTTGATTCTAGTAATTTAATCAGATAGTCTAGAAGAGGGATTGGTTGTGTTTAAAACACGCTTTTGATTTAAACGAAGGCTGATGTTTGGAAGGTAACCAGGAAGGTTTTACAACCGGTACAGCCCGCACTGTTCTCCCTTGATTTCCCGACTGAAGAATTGCAGTCTTTATTGTATTTTGTAACAGTGAAATGGCTTGGAAAAGTCTTCTCTTGATTCCCCAAGAATGACAAGAGATTTGCATTTTATACAAATATGAATCTGAATTATCCAACAGGAAATTTATTGCACAATAACGTGAACAGAATTCAATTTTAAACCGTATTTGTTCCTTCCATAGGGTATAAATGATGACAATTAAAATTCTCCTTCTGGACTGAAATAGGAAATAAAAAGTATTTTTCCCCCTAAGAACCTCGGTCTTGATATTTTTATTCCTGTGGGTAAAGAGGAAGACTTGAGGTATCCTTCTCCCTGCAGTCGGGGAGCGACCATCTGCTCAGAATAATCGTGCAGAAGTTGTTAACCAGTTCCATTATGGAAAGTCTTGAAAACTTAAAATCTCAATTTTGGTTTTAGTTTGACTAAATCTCCACATTTGCTAAGCTGTAGAGAGAGGGGAAGTAGCGAAGACTTCACCACTTCGTTACTCTTGATTATAATTTAATATACTTAAACTTTAAATATGAATTGCTTTCCCATTTTTACATAAGTTATAAAAATAAGAGGCCCTGTTTACAGTTTGCGTTTTTATGAAATTTGCAGTTTGAAAAAAAAGCTTTTAAAAAGTGGTAATTAGTGCTTTTCTTTGAATATGCTGTAACCTTAGAATTTTTTTTCTGAAATAGTATCTTGAATTTAACCCACTCAACATTCGAAGGCTGAACTTTCATTTAGCACTAGAGTAAAAGATACTAAAGACTGAAGAAAAGCAATTTTTTCTGCCTGATTCCATTTAAGCTTTTTTTTTTTAATATTTGGCACCCCCTTCCTGACAGCTTTCCACATTATATTTAAATTTTATGTACTGACAAAATACAGGGTACCTCTGGAAGCATTGCGCCATTCAGACAGTACTACTGTTAAATTTACATACCACAGTTTAAATTACATCCGCTTCAGGAATAGTAAAATGTAAAACTCAAGGGTCTAACTGCCTTACCAGAATGAGTACAATTTACAAATACAATAATTACATTTTAAAACCAGTAACAATATTACACCTAGAAGTAAATACTGTAGGATCGGTCACCACGGTACCAGTGAGGCCAGCAGCGCCCCACATCATGGGCTTGCGGGTAGCCCCCTCCCACCCGCAGATCTGAGTGTGTTCCCATCCAGCCGGAGTTAAAACCTGGTTCTCATACCACGGTGCTGGAGTGTGAGACTTCTCTGAATCCTTGTGAAAGACTTGATTAGTTATCCGCCAAGTACTTTCCTGCAAAAGAAACATTATCAGCGGGTCACCTGCAGGCTGGAAGACAATTACCGTGTGAATAATCTTTCCACCCCTCCGCCCTCTCTTACAGCCACCTGCCATGCAGTCTCCAGTATGACACTGATATAAAATAACTGCGTCAGGACAGCAGGACACAAAACAAGATTCAGGGCTGGGGGAGACGGCTGAGTGGTACAGCTAGGTTGGATCCCCAACACTGCAAAGCTTCACACCCCTCTCCTGGATTTATACCAGTCAGCACTGACAAATGGAATCAACCTATTATTGGGATCCTCCCTCATTAAAAAACTATCATTTGTGCACAATAAAACCTGTATCAGGCCACAGCCATTTCATGGGCACACAGTTCCAGTCCGGAGCCTAAGATTCTTATGGTTGTTATTAAAACAAAACACAGATCCTCCCAGGTCTCAGTTAAGCTGCCAAATCTAAAATCTACACAGGCCTGCTGGAGAACAGGTTTCCAAGGAGTGGAATCTAAGCGTGAAATACATTTTGTGTGTACTTTTGTCTCTCTTTTTTTTAAGTTTTCAGGTGGGAGACAAATCCAAAAGCCAAGAGCATTTGTCTTCTTTACCAGTGTCATAAAAGTAGAATTTATCCCCCTGAGCTCAAACGCACATCGATATGGGTGAATGACTGGACAGCTCGGCCAAAGCAGTGTCCAGAGAATTCTCGATTCCTGACTTCAAGTTCATTGTTAGATTTCTATATCTTCCCACAGTGGGGCTGCCTTCTCAGAGGGATGGAGTTTTAAGGCAAGGGAGGGGAACATGATGTGAAAAGCAACCTGATTTTTGCAAATGACTTTGGAGACAGCCACGGACCTGCAGCAAACCTCTTTTTGATGAGTGAAAATCGATACCCTGCTCCAACAAGTTCAATGTCGCAGCCAGAAAGGGTGCTGCCTTCACTGGTGAACTGCACCACCAGCGGGGAAGGTTTGCTGGGACCTTCGGATAACTGAAATCTTGCCAAGAGAGAGCCCACCCCTGAAATTAAAAAAAATTAAAAAAAAAAAAGATTATTATTACAACATGACAGTCAACACGACTAGATGCAATTTGGAAAATTATATTCGAAAAGTTCCCGGCTGAAATTGGACTTGCTATGAAATAGTACATTCTTCGGGGATGGTGTAATGATAAAGTGTGTCACTGAATATCAAGAGAAATACTCTGCACACTGATAAAAGTCAGAAAAATGGTCCTTTAAAAAATTTGGGGCGCGCTGTATGTAGAGCCCTGTACTTTCAACCCTTAGATTGGTCAGAGGAAAGGTACCACAGCTGGTCCGTGGAGGGGGTGAGGGGTTGGGGTTGGGGACTGCGGGGTGCCCCTTACCCAAGGGGACGCCTGCATGGGGTGAATGGGGTAGGCAAAGGGCCCGAGGGTGAGCTGTTGGAGGATTCCTTGCTACCACTGACTGATATACCTAAATGCAAAAATGAGGTCATCAGACATTCTGCTTGTTTTTAGTACTACATGTATTTTGCTTCCTAGCTGGCTGATACCTAGAAGTAGTTTTGGCTTCACCTATTAAATAACACAAGTCTGCCATCCCTACCTCCATTCTCTGACTTCTGGGAGATATCGGGGATCTTCCACAGTATTCTCTGTTGGTCAGCATTCCTGAAAACAAAGCAGACGAAGGCTTGCCCAGATGCAGTCTATATTTTTCCCAGATAATGCCCACTTTAAAAAAACAGATCTGCAAAATTTTAACTCCTATTTAAAAACTTAAAGAAGGGTCACGCGAGTTTGTAGGGAAATGCACCTTGAAACCTAATGGTAAGTAAAATAAATCAGACTCTCGAGCTTAGATATCACATGACGTCCCTTGCATGAGAATCCTACAGTATCAATAAATTATGGAGCCAAATAAAAGTCGGGTCACAGAAAACTGGGAAACAGATTTGTCAGCTGGGAGGTCAGAAGGAGAGGAGAGGTGAGAAGGAATGAAGGCGTGTTTTGTCCCTGCACCAGCTTCCTACCATGTGTGTAATCGGTGTGCACTGCAAACACACACTCATCCAATGTTAAAATATGTTTTTAAAAAGCCAAAAACACAACTGGAGACCATACTCAAAAGTGAAATAAATCAGACTCACATTTGTAAATATTGTATTGTCTCCCGAGTGTAAAAAATAAATAAGAATAATAAAAAACTGAAAGAGTAATAAGATCCAAAATGCACTATAGATATTGTAACAATGAAAGGAAAAGAAAGTATTCAAAAGGAAAGAACAACTTGTAGGTGTACACAGATAACAGTACATACCTGAGTAAGTGTGTAAGATCAATAACCACACTACTAATTCTCTGTTAGTTAATCAAAAAGAATGGTTTGTGTTGTCGCTGACTGTCTGATCATTTTTTGTGCTTAGATTTTGTAACTTGAACAATTACTTATAAGATAACAGTAGGTAATGTGTTGACTAGTGTTGATTTCTGTTAGCTTTTTGAAATTCTGTATTATATCTGCCTCTTTTTCTATTTTGTTTAAAAAAAAAAAAAGCCAAAAACAGGGACAAAAGCAAACGGCCCCCATAGTTTCTCCTTTTCCCTCTGGAGCTGCCCACAGGGCAGCTGCCCTGGTCTCTTTGTTAAACACATGTGTTAAGAAGCCTTTGATCCAAGTTTGAGCCCAGACTGGGCAGCTTAGTGAGGCAGCGAGGCTGTCTCAAGATAAAACACATGAAAAGGCCGGGATGTGGCCCAGTCCCCAGGCCCTGGCTCCGTCCCCAAGGGAGCCCTGCTTACCAGACGGCCGGGGGGAGCACAGCCTGGAGCTTGGTCACCCCGCCATCTACGGGGACCAGGAACTGCACGTTGTTGAGGGCCACCGCGGTGGCCATGGCGTCCGAGTTGTACTTGTAGTCGACGCGCAGGTCGGTGCTGGTGGGCTCACATCGCCAGTTCACTGCCAGGTTCAGGGGAGTGGACTGAATGCCCCGTGCCGACACCTTGCCAAACGACAGGAGAGAGGACGTGTGAGGTGCGTGGACAAACCAGGAGCTGTGATTGTCTTGGTGACCCAGGGTTCCAACACTCGTGTTTGTACATTCACCAGTGGGCCCGCCGAGAGCCGACGGGAGAAAGAGAGCTGGACCTGCGTGGACTGTCGTTGAGTGACCTTGGACAAGTCACCGAAGCACGCTGAGCCTCAGGGGTTTCCTCTTCTGCCCAGTGGGAACTGTAACAATCATCTTTGCCCATTGGTGGTGAGGAGGACAGAAAGGGCTCAAACTGCACAGAGCCTGACACCCAGCCAGGACCTGAGGCCTTAGCCAGCATCCCTTAGTAATGTTCTCCCCACTTTCGTGCTTCCCAACACACCAAGCGGGCTGTTCTCACTCCTTTGTGATTTCCCAAAGTGAGGACTCGACCCAGGCCCTCTAAATGGAAGTGTTTCATTCCAGTTAGACCCAACCTTCAGTGAGTTAGGCCAAGTTCGCGGAATGTGCATGCAGTTCACGTTTTGTGCTTTTGGGGAACACACAGGATTCTCTGGGAGGTGACCACACACCCTCAGGGTCGTTCGGGAGGGGGGCACTCTCAAGGCAGGACTGGTTGCTGCGGAAATCAGTCTGGAATGGGTCCCTTTACAGGATGACAGATGGGACTGCTGCTTGCACACACAGCCAGCTGACCATCACCACAGCTCTCCAACTTTAAGTGCCTCTAGCAGTTCCGCTCTTCTGGTGGCCTAGTTACATCTCTCCTCCCTGGCTCTTTTCTGTCCTGCCTGCCCAGGACCACACTTTCTCTCCCGCGGAGGTCAAGGGGAGTTCCTAGGTCTCCTCATTTCCAGGAGATGCTATTGCTACCCAGAAAGTGCACATGCGCACAGTTCAGGGACGCTGCACAAAATGCTGGTCGTGCAGCACCGCTGCCTGACGGCGTTGTGGGAAAACACAGTGAATGCCAGCAAAAGTAGTTCTTCAGAGGGCACTTGAAAATTGGGGCAGGACTAGGGCTGCTCCGCCTCGAAGGGTCTGAAGTATTAGGCTACTTCCTCTTACAATAAGCTGGGGGTATCGAGGGAGTTGCTGTTATTACCTTTGTATGCAGTACAGGACACTGAGATTTTGGGCCATTGAATGCCCGAGGTCAGCCGTCAGGAAGTCTCCTGAGTTCAGGGCTGGCCTGCACTAGAGGGTTTGCTCAAAGCTCGCACTGCTGTCGAAGAACTGTCTACTTTTAGCTCACTTAATAACAAATATGCAGATCAAAAGAATGCCACAGGATTTAAAAGTTGCCACAATTTAAAAATAAATCTGAGATGAAAATGTCAGTGCAAACGCAGTGTCTGTAATTAGAATCCCTGGAGGAAAGTCACCACCATTTTATTTTCACACTTACACATGAGAACCAGAAAAGAACCCTAAAATTTAACTTCTTATTTAGGGAAACATTCCGCTGGGCAAGTCCATTTCTTTCACCAGCTTCAAGCAGCACTAAACAAGTTTTTTTGTATCTTGGGAGAAAAATTTTAAAATATGGATTCTATCATATTTTAATGATAAGGTGGTGAACATATGGTGCATACTGTGTTCCCTGGCCCTGTATTGATCTATAATGTCCAACATTTAAACGAAACTGTTCTCATAGGAAATATGTTACATTTGTTTGCGTTTCTGTAAAATGTACCATCATAGGGGTGGTTTGCTTTCAATGATCCTCACAGTACTTTAAGTGTTTTTTAATGCATAAAATGCTTTAGAATTACTCAGGGAACATACAAAAATGCAGACACCTGCATCCCATCCTGAGCCAATTAAACAAGATTCTCTGGAGTGTCAGAGTGAAGATTCACATCTACATCTAGTCTTCATGGTTATTTATATATAAGTATATGTTAACATATATTAATACGTATTCACACATACACACATACATATATAATATATATTTACATATATGTATATATATATGGTACTAATTCAGTACTAGCATCTGTTCACTAGATGTTTCTTAACCCAAAGTAGCTTTTGTATCAGGATTAACCATCACCACCACTGATGGAAAACCTCTTATTTTTAATGATTCGAAGGGAACAATCTGGGTTTTTCTAGAGCAATAATCCTAGGAAACAGTTCTAATAAAACTTAATGTTAAGAAATAATTCAGTATCAATAGAATGTCTGATACAACATATTATGTATTTGAGAACTCTCTGTGCCCAGAGCTGCCTTTACCTAAAAGTACCCTTGACACAGCAAATACTCCGATCTTAGATAAGACTCCATAGCGCCTGGCTATCCCACTCTAGCCACGTGACTCCTTGGGCCACTGTTTTGATTTTATCTGTTGGAGCCCTGGGCCTGATATCCTAGGTAAGTGCTGTGCTACTGAGCACGTCCCCAGCCCCTGTGGATCACTGTCAGTGCATGGTAACTTTGTGATCAAATATGTTCAGATAATTATTTTTTGGACGGAGAAAGCTGTGTTTTAGTAAAAATCTGTGTATCCCAAACATGACTGCGCTTCCCAGTTACCAGGGAACCTGCAGACAGGTGTCTGTACTACACAGGGGCACTCAGGGGTGTGTCCGGGTGGGTCTCCTTCTCTAAATCGTGGGTGCCAGCTACAGCATCCCAGCAATGGCAAAGCGACCAATACACAAATGGCCTTAGTAATATGACAGTGATCTACTTAAATACAATCTTCATGGGAATCACAACTTCATTTTTTGTAGCATATTTCTGTACTATTTAAATAAAAATATTTCCCTTCTGAGTTTAAACTGGGAATATGTATGAATATCCTTGTCACTCTCCCTCAAATAGTCCTGTAAGGCTTCTATTTTCTTACAATTATAGCTTTCATGTATTATGGAAAGGACTGTTACTTTATTGTCATCTAGAATACAAATTTTTATTGCAAAAGAGACACCTTGGCCATGTGAACAAGCTTACCTGGTATTTGAGCATGTCCACATTGTAATAGGTAGCCTGGGGTTTTTGTTCAGACACTTTCTTTAGATGAATCATCAAATTTGGCATGTTTACCCAGAATTCCTTGGCGTTGGCATCATTCTGTGTGTTATCACTATGCAGTTGGGAAGAAAAACAGTTGAGTAGCATCCTATAACAAATACCATCTGCAAAGGAAGCACCTTAGCAAAAATCCACCTGACTTCTATGTCCTTATGGTAACACAGCACTGTGGCTCTGGTACAGACGCACTTTTGAATGATGTTATAGTAACAGATTAATTCCCATAGGCTGCTGTAAATCTCAATGAGTAGCCTGTCCCATTAGCCATCTTGATGGTAGTTGGTGGCTTTTAAAAACCAAACTCAGTGGCCCAAAGACATCTTGAAGTATCTCACGGAAGGTCATCGAGCTGTAAAAATGTGGCTGAGAGTGGCAAGACTGGATTCAGAGTGGGGAGCCATTGTTGTGGTCCAGAAAAATGACAGTGGCTGCTTCACAAGGGAAATGTGAATAAAGGGGGGAAGTGGCCACCACAGAGGGAGACCTTTAGACGGAATATGTGGACTTCCCCGACAGGAGGATGTCACCACAGCTGCTGTCTGCAAATGAATAATGTGACACAGTTGATCCCTTCAGTACCAAGTGTGTGGCCAGGCAGGTGCATATGCACAGTGGAGACTCACTTCAGGTTTAGAAGAATATATTTATGCAAAGAAATACGCTTGAGGTACTTTGAAGTTATACATGGAAAGTCCCAGCAAAACAATGACTGTTCAAACGAAGTTATGTTTCACAAAAAAAGACTTTTAAGCTCCTGTGAGGAGGAGCTCGCAATTCAAATATTATGTAATTAAAAAGATGCTAATACAACCAGAGGAATTTCTTCTTGTTTGATTCATCATTCGCCATCCTTATGCCTTATGCCTCCTGATCATAGCACAGTGAAGAAATTGTCACTAATTCAGATTTTATTACTTTAAATGCCTCTTTAAGCAGATTAACTAGTTGGCTATTAAAATATGCATTGGCAGCTACTCACACACACAGTCACCCGTGGAAACATTAACAGCTGGTTAAAGTTTTATGTCTCAAGCCTATTAACTCTGCTACCGTGCTAGGGTACGCTCTTCACGGGGAAAACAAAGTGCCAAGCCACCCAAAGCTCTAAAAATATATACAAAGTCATATTTACCAGCAGAGAAGTTGGGGATTTGGCAGGACGTGTTCTAACCTGCTGAAATTTATCACCCGGAAAGTCAGGGCCGCTGGGGATGGGTTGTTAGCGAAGTGTCTGGTGATGCCAGCAGGAAAAGATAATACCATCTCTCCAGTAATCTTCACGATACATCTGGATAGCAAAATGGGACAGGAAAGAGAGGAAACCCAGGTCAGTTGGCTGGGATCAAAAAAGTCGTGAAAGGAAGAGATTTGCGTAGCAGTGTAAAACAGCGAAGGAGAAGGACAGTAACTCCCACCTCACCTCTGCTCCAGTACTGGGAACCGAACCCAGGAATTTCAGGTTGAGAGACAACCCCAGTCTTTTTGAGACGGGGTCTCACTATGTGGCTCAGGCTGCCCTTGAGCTCACTTTGTAGCCCAGGCTGGCCCTGAACTTGCAAGGATCCTCCTGCCTCAGCCTCCCAGTGCTGAGAGTACAGGTGCGCGCCACCACGCCCAGCTCATTTCCAGCCATTTTAACAGTTTTGGTTAGTGTAAGGCAGGGTCACATTAAGTCATTGCATTGCCCAAGCGGGGCTCACACTGGCAATATTCTTGCTTGAGCCTCCCAGAGTGCTGGATTACAAGTGAGCAGCACCATGAGAGAAGGCAAACTTTACCTGACCTCTCCCAACAACTTAAATAACTTCTAATTTATCTGCACACTGTATGCCTAACAGTTATCCAGCTACTTTACTGAATGTGTTTTGAACTCTAAGAAGTGTCAAATCTTCATAAACAGAATAATCTACTCTCATGATGTTTTTAATTAATTAAGTTTATTGGTACATTTTAGGTTTACATGTTTACATTCCTCATGGAAATGTATACTCATTCATGATACAATTTGATTCTTTCCCCCCATTTCTTGACCTTCCCTTTAATCTCTCCTCCCCTCCCAATTTCTTTCCAAAAGTTTTCTTTCTATTTTGCCTTTTTTTCTCATCACTTTTGTCTTTTCCCTTTCTTCCTTTCCACTTCCCCACTCTGTAGTTCCCCTTTACATTTGGACATTTTTTAATCCTGTTTCACAGTATTTATTATACATTTTGGTTTCTATTTATGCTTTCAGTTTCTCACATCAGAGAGACAATGTGATATTTATACATGTGTGTCCAGTTTATTTCCCTTAATAGTGTGGCCTCAAGGTCCATCTATTTAGCTGGAAATGTCTGGTTGATACACTGACAAGGGGTGGGTTGTAATGGCTGATAGATACATTGTGTCAACTTGAGAAGTTTAGAAGTTAATGAAATGGCCCAGCATGGGGCCAGGATCCTCACTTTGAAGCTATTCTCAGCCTGTGCAAGAGGAGGGCAGGGAGCCATGTGACCGCACCACCCACCCCTAGGGGGTGGTAGCCTGCTTACACTATAAGGGAGGAACAAGGCAGGCTTCCCATTCTTTTGCTCTTGCTGCTTTTGCTGTTTTTTTTGCTGCACTGAACTGTTGCCCTGTGCCGCGCCATCCAGCCTTGAGACACCTGATTATCGATTGAAACCTTCACAAACTGTGAGCTAAATAAACCTTTCCTCCTTTAACTTTGGGCATTGGGTATTTTATCCCAGCAACAAGAAAAAAGTAACCAAGATAGTACTATATTATATTCAAAAAAACCACATCTTTATCCATTCATTAGCTGATGGGCATTTGGGATGTCTCCAAGATTCACCTATTACAAAATATGCTGCTATAAACATGGGTGCACATATGTCACTGTGTATGATTTTAATTCTTCAGAAAGATACTAGGAAGAGGAATAGCTGGGGAACACCTAGTTCCAGTTTCTTGAGGAATCACCAGTCTGCACTCCCACCAATAATGGAGAAGCATTTCTTTTTCCCCACAGCCCCACTAGCATTTGTTATTGGTTGATCTCTTGATAACTGCCATTCTTCCTGGAGTGAGACGAAATCTCAGTGTCATTTTAATTTGCATTTCTTGAATGACCAGTGATGTTGAACATTTTTTCATATATTTATTTGCTTTTTTACTTCTTCCTCTGAAAAGTGTCTATTCATTTCAAATGCCCATTTATTTTGTACCAGGGATCGAACTCATGACCTTTTGCTTGCCAGGCAGGCACTTACACCACTGAGATAATAAATCCCCAGCAGATTCCCATTTTTGGATTGGGTTTTAAATGTGAGAGGGTCTGATTTTTTAAAAGTTGTTTATGTATTCTAAATAGTAGTGCTTTGTCTGAGGAACAGTTGTCAAAATTTTCCCCCCACACTGTAGGTTGTCTCTTCACTCTGTTGGTGATTTCTTGTCCTGTGAAAGAGCTTTTTAATAAGACGAAATTCATAAAATTTCTTGTGTGTGGGTTTTGTTTGATAAAGTTTTTGCCTACACAAGTGTCTTCAAGAGTTCTACCTATTCTATTTTCCAATAGACTGTTTCTTCTTTAATATTTAGATCTTTGATCCATTTTGATTTTAGTTTAGTGCATAGTGAAAGATAATGGATCTAGTTTTAATCTTCAACATATGGGAAGTCAGTTTTTCCAGCACCATTTATTAAAGAGGTGATCTTTCTTCCAGTGAAGGTGTTTGGCTCTTTGTCAAAGAAGAGGTAGCTTAGAGTGTATGGAGCTATTTCTGCATCTTCTAGTCTGTTTCATTGATCCTCAGGTCTGTTTTTTGCAAGTACTATGCTGTTTTTAATCACGGTACTTTATAATATAGTTTCAAGTCAGGGATAATGATGTCCCTTGACTTGTCTTTGTTGCCCAGAATTACTCTTTGTTATTCTAGGTCTCTTCTGGTTCCAAATGAATTTTAAGGTTGTCTTCTCTAATTCTGTGAGATATGTTGTTGAATTTTGATTGGAATTGCATTAAATCTGCATAGCAGTTTGGAATAACCATTTTCACTATATTGATTTTTCCTACCCAAGAACAAGGAATATCTTTCCATTTTCTGATATTCTCTTCTATTTCCTTTTTCAGAGCATTGTAGTTTTCAATGTAGAGATTTTTTTACTTCCTTTGTTAGATTGATCCCTAGATGATTTCATTTTTCTGGATGCTATGTGAAAGGTGTGGTTTTCCTAAATTCTCTCTCAGTGAGTTTTTATTTGTGTACAGGAAGGCTATTGATTTTTGAGTGTTACTTTGTATCCAGCTATGCTACTGAATTTGGCTATTAAATCTAGAAATTTTCTGGCAGAGTTTTTGGGGTCTTCTATATACAATATCATGTCATATGCAAATAATGACAACTTAACTTCTTCTTTTTCTATCTTTATTCTTTTTATTTCTTTCTTTTGTATAATTGCTCTGGCGAATATTTCCAGAACTATACTGAATAAGAGTATTGAAAGTGGACATCTTTGTCTTGTTTCTGATTCTAGAGTAAAAGTTTTCAGTTTTTGTCTATTTAGTATGATGTTGGCTGTTTTTTTGTCAAGGATCGCTTTTATCAGACTGAGATAAAGACTATTTCAATTTTCTGTTGTTTTTATTGAATAATGAATGGATATTGAACTTTGTGAAATGCTTTTTCTCCATATATTGAGATGATCCTGTGGTTTTTGTCCTTGGTTCTGTTAATATGATGTATTACATGTATTGATTTTCATATGTTGAACCATCCCTGCATGCCTGGCATAAATTCTACTTGATCGTGATGTATAACATCCTTGATGTTTTGCTGCATTCTGTTTGTCAGTATCTTGTTGAAGACTTTTGTTTCTATGTTTATTGGGAGATTGACCTGTAGTTCTCTTTCTTAGTTTAGTGCTTTTCTGGTTTTGGTATCAGGGTAATTCTTGCTTCCAGGAATGAGTTTGGGAGTACTGCTTTCTTTTCAAATGAATTAGAGAGTTTGAGAATTAGTGAAAATTAAATGTTCTCTAAATTTCTTGTAGAATTCAGCAATAAGTCTGTCAGGGCCTGGGCTTTTATTTTCAATAGGTTTTTAATTATGTCTTCAATTTCATTGACTGATATTGGTTTATTTAGAACTTTTATAATTTCTTGATTCAGCTCTAGTACTTCATAGGTATCTAGGAATCTGTCCATTTCTTCTAAATTTTTCATCTTATTAGAACACAAGTTCTTGAAGTATGGGTAGATGATCTGGATTTCTGGAGGGTCTGTCTTGACTTCACTCTTTCTTTCCTGATTGTATGATTTCAGTCTTTTTTTCTGATAAGGCTCACAAATGGTTAATTGATTTTATTCATTCTTTCAAAGAACCAACTCTTCAATTTATTGATTCTTTGTATTTTTTAGTCTGCATTGCATTGATTTCTGCTGTGATCTTAATAATTTCCTCCATCTTATGAGCTTTGGGCTTGACTCACTCTTTTTTTCTAGAAGCTTGAGGTTCAACATTAAGTTGTTTGGGCTCACTCTGTTTTCCTGATTTGGGTTTTCAATGCTATAAATTTCCCTTGTAGGACTGTTTTCATTGTGACCTATAAATTCTGGTATACTGTATTGAGATTATTTTTAATTGTGGAAACTGTCTAATTTTTTCTCTAATTTTATCTGTGAGCCGTTGGAGAGTGTTATTTAATTTCCATGTACTGATGAAATTCTCATTTCTTTTCCCATTGATTTCCAATTGTCTTACAGTATGGTCTGATAGTATGTGTGGGATAATTTCAGTTTCTTTGCATTTAATTAAGCATGTTCTATGAGCTAGTTTGTGGCCTATTTATGAGAACATCCTGTGTGCAGCTGAGGAATGTGTATTCTGATGTTGTGCAAAGGACACCCTTTAGATATTTACTAAGTGCATTTGTTAAAAAGTTTGGTTCAATTATAACATTTCATTGTTGATTTTTTTGTCTAATTCATCTATTTTTGACAGTGGGGTACTGAGGTCCCCCTTTACAATTGTATTAGTGATGTTTTTGTTTTTTCACATCCATTAATATTTGTTTTATATAGTTGGGTACACTAGTGTTTGGTGCATATATGTTTATGATTATTATCTCTTTCTCTTGAATTTTCCATTTACAAGGGTGTAGTTACCTTCTTGGTCTATCTTACTCATTTTGGCTTGAATTCTACTTTGTTTGCAAGTAGAATAGCTACCTCTGCTTCTTTCTGGGTTCTTGTCACTTAGAGTAGTTTTCCATTCTTTGACTCTCAGTCTGTGAATTTCTTTTTTAACTAAA